AGCACTGAGACAAGAAGGTAAGACAGCACTGAGTCATTTGATGACAAAAAATGCGTAAGGGCGTATGTTGGATATTAATGGGAAAATAAATTGTCAGTAACAATTTTGAAGTTTTCAGGAATGGCACGTTCATCAGTCCATCAGCTGTGATCGGATACAGCTCAGTGGAAGCAGCATCGCTCACAGATGAATGCAGTTTAAGGACCAATGGAAGCACAAGTTGCTGACTGCAAAATTTCACTTAACACAGGCGTTTAAATGAAATGCCTTCATTTCTAAAAAGCGGCGCACTTCTCTGTGCAGCATGCACCAGAATTGCGCTTTAATGACTTTCACATGGTGTTAGTTTACCTACCATTTAGATTGATATATTTATCAGAGAACCAAAAACGTAAAACCGTGCGTAACTATAACTGTGACTATAAATAGATTCATTGTAAATCCATGCAACCAAAATGTATTTCTTGATTTAAAAAAAAAAAAATCTATTCTGAAGTTGTTAAACATGATCTAACCAGAAAATGTCTCCTTTGAGCTGCTTTATCCATCAAACAGGCAAACGACGAAGACAAAGAATAGACCACAGCTTCGGGACCAAATGAAAAACAGTCCCATATTCTTAAAATCTCACTTTGTGAGCTGCAAAGATGGCTCATAAGAATTTCAATTTCTTCTTCTTCTTCCTCTTCTTCTTTTAATTTTTTTAATCTTTCACATCTCTTAAGTGTCGTTCTGCCTGTACAATCTAACTTTTGCGCGAAAATCTTTTTTTTTTTTTGCTAAGCTTAACGGTTTTAGGCTGAAAAGCATTTCCAACCTTTTCTTCGCATTTTCCATCAGTCATTAAATCGATGACTTCACACACCAGTTGTATCTAATCAGCCTATCATTTAATATTTCATTAATTTAGAGTTAAAAATAAACTTTTAATTTCTAAGGAGGGGAAATAAAATCCTACCATCACTGTCGAAATGTTTCCAAATGTCGAGGAACTGGGACGCGGTGACCTCGGCCAGGTGCAGGTGAGGAGGCTGCTGAGCTTTGTTTGCCATGATGCTCTCGACCGATGCTGCTGCAAGTCAGACGCGACAAAAATCCGCTACTAACTTTTCTGTGTCTTCTTCAAACACGCCCCACACTGTGGCCCCAGTGCGCCGCCCGCCGCTTTTTAACCTCGGCGCAGGAGCGGTAGCACCGCTGCACGACCACTGGGGGCGCACTGCCACCGACAGTGTACATCTGACTCAGCGTCCCAGCGTATGTGCTTCCAAGCTTGATGTAGCTGTGTGATAGGACGTCTTGGGCACTGCAGTAGGCTGATGAGTGTGTGTGTATGTGTGTGAGAGAGCGGGGAGAGAGATGCAGATAGTGAGCAGATTGACTTTTTCGCCATTGTATCATCATTCATCTCAGATCCCATGTGTGTGTTTAATCTGTTGCAATGCATACATGCGAGCTCACGCATTTCTGTATGCAGGGGAAAGGCATACGTGTGTGTGTTCTCCTTCCCAGCGTGCAGCTCCCCGAGCCTGTCTGTCAGCGCGTGAGGCTTCACAGACTTAATTAGAACTCACACACTAATCACATTTCCCACACCACCTCCAGCCAGCGGTGATTAGCCCCCATAACAAATGTAAATTCTGGAAAAAAAAGGGGGATTTTCATTAATGGCCAGTCTTGTGTGCAAAGCAAGACCACAGATCCTATTAGCGGAATGAGGCTTGGAGGGAAAAATGGACTCTTATATATTTCTTTAACTATTTGCTGCAAAAGGGGATAATATTCAAAATGAACTCATAACACCATAATGAGCAGGAGGGCAAGCATCCCCAGAAGCATCTTCATGCTGCTGGATGAAATGTGTAAGAAGAAAGCTTATGCACATGAAGTAAAGAATATTTCCCTTTTGTACTCAGTTGTGCTTGAAATCCTGTAAGACATGGGTCCTTCGAGCCTTCCTGGCAGATGTCAGTCAATACTTTAACAGCTATTATTTTTAAACTGTAAAGTAGTCAGTAGATGTAACTACAGCATCAACAATGTCTCTTTTTCATCTTGTTGCCAAGTGAGTCATGCCAATATGCAAGCACAAAATAAAGCTTATGGGGCAGAAATAATTTAAAAGACTGCAGTCTAGTTAAGTGATTAACGGAACTTTTCCTTTTTCCTGCTAAAACTTCTTTAAACACTGATTCAATGAAAATTTGAATTTGAATGAGGATCTTTTTCATATCAGTTAAAAAAATAACTTAATTATTTATTATTTTTGGTCACTTAAGGACTTTTTCAAACAGGAAACTGATATATAAACACTCTTTCAGTATCTGAAGTATTTAAACAGATAGCAGATTTATTACAATAATAATATTCATCTAACATCCCATTTTGTGCCACCTTTGGATACTTTGTTACATATTCACTCTTCTGTTTGCTCTTCTGTTTGGTTCAATTCATGTCAGTGCTATTGTTATAGTGCCAATTCACAACAACAGTTACCTGACGATGCTTTATAATGTAAGGTAAATGACCCTTACATTGATAAAACCCTGTTTTCTACAGTCATTGGTCTCCACTGATTCCAAACGGAAAGTTTTGTCTCCATAGCACATAAATGCTGCATTAGGTTTGCTGGCTACTGATATTATAGCTTATTAATCCTCTTTTTTAAGAGTCAGCTGAGAAGCTTGAAGCTGTCCAGTAGCTATGAGCTTCAGACTGGGAGCTGGTGATTGAAGTAATTAGTCGAGTGTAGTAAAAAGACTGGAGTTATAATAAATGGACAAAAGAATTACATCACATTCTTCATGTCTGCTACAGAATCTGATGTCATGAAGCACTGAGCACACAGTTTTTGTGCTGATGTTAATGTCAGAGCAGGTTTGGAAGTAGGAGACGCTGCTTTATATGGGATATCTAGGAGGGATTAAATGTCCCGCACTGATTTGTTACAATGAGGGCATAGTATTACAGTCCTACACTTGAATTTCAGTGAGCTCTTTACAACGCTCAGGTCTTTCACAAGTGTTTGTGCAGGCAGACTGCACTTGGTTTTTGATACAGCTGTGGCAATGGGCTAGAAAACGCCTGAATTCAAAGATAAAGTGCTGGAGCCCAACACTTTTGTCCGCGTAGTGCATGTGGAATTAACTGGCCTGACTGGTCTTTCTCTAGAGTCTAAAGTCATTTCATCCAGCAGCATGAACATAAGTCCTAATCATAATTTTAAAATGCACTAAATAACATTTTTAATTAATTTATGGCATAAGTAGGCAAAGGAAAGTGCATATATTTGTTTATTATTTGGTTCAAGGTACCTAGCAGCTTCATATGATATAATGATCCCCACACTGTAGTAAAAGGGGAATACCAGAGGTGTTGGTAGTTGAATATATAGCTAGTAGGTTCACCTTTTTAAAAATATTTACATGATTCCATGCAAATTTAGAGGGTGTTGTCTTCAGGGTTATTCAGTTTGCAATTTTTTGTGCTACATTTGAAGTGTTTTTGTCCACAGGTTGGGTAGACCTATTGTCTATGAAAATTAAATTCAGTGAATAAGGATCCATGTTTACTTTTACACAAACGCTTCAAACCATATTCCAGACTCATAGTCTCTCTCTCTCACTCTCTGATCGACAGCTTTATTAGTAGAGCTCTGCAAGGTTTTGCCCTTGTGGGACAATTTGCACATTACAGTGCTGTCTGCGCTGTTTGTTTGAATTTTGTTGCAATCAATCAAGACCAGTACACAACTTGAAGCTGCAGGCAAATAATTGAGATAATCCAGATAAACTGAGATAAACCACGCCACTAGCTGCAGCGCTGAGTTTGACCTGTCACATCCCCACAGAGTTGGAGCAGTAATTTTCCAGCTCCACCCTGCACACTGGTACAGTGCTGACACACTGCTGGCAGCTGACACGATTTGGAGACAGCGTGTGAAAGTCAGCAGAGACATTCCCTCACTAACGCTGTTCCTCGGGTTTGTAAGAGTCACATTCAGTAACAGGACAGGAGGGGCACTGCTGCCCCGATATGAGCACAGGTACATGACAGTCTATAAGGGCACAGGGTGTGTGAGTGAGACAAAGGCTGAGTGTGTGACAATGTGTGACAGTGTTTAAAAGTGTCAACTCAGCAGAGCTGTCCCGCTCTATTTCCTCAGCTTCTCTTTTCACCCTATAATAATCAATAACGAGCCCCAGCCTCAGTTGGCACAGCAACAATAGATAGATCAACATTACATTACAGATGAAGCCTGTCAGCAGCCGTAGGGACTGAAGAGTCAAAGCACTTTGTTCTCCTCTCTTATTCTCTTTTAGTCGCTCCCATCATCTATGCTTTTCTGTGTCCCGTTTCCACTTCCTCTCATCCCAAAGCAGAGAGAGAGCTATTTGAATCTTACATATCTTTGAAGATGTCTTGTGTTTTGCTGTGCAGTTAAGTTGCGACTCTTTTTTACGAGTATGTGCAAATACAATCAAGCTCAGTGGTGTGTTGTTTGGCTCTTGGGCTCATTTGTATTAATATTTCAGCTCCACAGACGGCTGCACGCTGTATGTAGATGAATTATATAAGAGAGTGGAGAGGTGGGGTGGACGGAACAGCCATTTTCGCTTTATCTCAATCTGACTCTGACCTCATCTGTTTGAAGTATGTTTAGAGTGAAGGATTGAAAGAGTGTGGCGCTGCAGACAGAGAGTGTGTAGATGTGTTGATGAGGTGTGTGCTTTGTTTGGGGCTATGTTTGCCTTTATCTCGCTGTGCACTGAACCTCATTATCGTTGAAAGAGGAAGAAAGTCCTTTTCTCCTTGAAACTGACTTCCATATTGATTGATTTTGGGCTGTACCCCTGTAGTAGCCTGCTTACACACGCACACGCACACACACACACACACACACACACACACACACACACACACACACACACACACACACACACACAATGACCAATGTGTGCAGTCACCCATGGCAAAGAAAAAATGCAATTACCCAGATGTCATCTCCAAATTTTTATTTAATAGCAGCAAAAGCTGGTGTGGCAAATAATTGCTTTGCTAGAGTGCATTGTTATATAAGTGAATACAATTCTAACCTGAGACCTCAGTACTTTAAATAAGATCAACAAACAACACATAAGGGTTAATTCATCCAATAAAGTACAACCACAAGAAAGACCAGAAAACCGGAGACTAAAACAAATTGCCAAATTTGGACTGCTGAGCTTCTATTTTTCCGGCCTTTCCAGTGAATGAGATGGTCAAGACAAGCTGGCAGGCAAACTTGTTCCAGATGAGCACAGAAAAGATTGAAAACTGCAGGTATTCCAGCCCTCTCTGATGTTACAGTGTTAAGGCCTCACAGTGTGCAAATAAAGCAGTCCACTAAAGAAAAAAACCCTCACACATCACAACCATTTAACAAGACTGCTGGTATATCTTTCAGACTATACCGTGTGCTTTTTGTGTGATTAGTTAGATTTCTCTCTATGTATGATATATGTATGGTATAAATATATATATATATAACTGTAACTGCTGATCTACAGTAAGAGATTACTAAAACCATGTGCTTTTCATTTTTTGACAAACTTTTAAGAAACTCATTGATTTCTTCTTTAAATATTAGGAATGATATCAGAGATTGGCCTATTTATTTGTAGGCCAGTATTATATGATAAATACATTGGATAGATATGTCGTCTGCCTGCTTAGAAATATAAAACTCTTGATTAAAGTGTATAATAAATATGCCCACATTGATTTACAGGTAAAATAATTATTAAAAGTGCATCCTTAACAAGAAGAAACCACTAAATAATGCCAGTTGATAAGTCCAGTCCATAAGCTAGCAGGGTTTTCCACATGCACCTGAAACAGATAAATGGTGGATTCATAGGTAGTAGATGCTCGCATTGCTCTCGCTAAAGACAAACTGCAGCATGCATGCATGCAGCAAAAATATGAGTGGGAGAGAGGAAGGAAGGCATAAACTAACCATCAAATCTTAAAGGTTTGGATTCACTCAGATACTCAAGTCTGGTTTTCAACAAGGACCCAGATTAGAATTTGCTGCCACTGTGATAATAATAGGGAGTACAGGGAAAACCCCAGCTACCCTGCGGCACTTACATTAGGAGAGAAATGCACACCGGTGGTTGTAAAAGTATTACTATTACAGTTATTTATCTGTGATATCTGAGACTGTGGAAAGTTGAAACACTGGAATGGATGCATGGATTCAGGCTTACGTTTCCTGGATCACATTTGTTGATTTGTGCAGCTCTTGCTGAGGTAGTGCTAAATCCCTTAAAATCTTAAACCTTATAACTTCTCCTAAATGTCCACTTTACCCAATAGCAAATAATAATCTATCCCACAAAGCACCATTTTTACCTTTTGTTCAAAGCTATGATTATTCTGTCACCACAAATTTGACTGTAAGGCCTAAAATGTTCAATTGGTCCATCAGATAGTAGATGATGTTACTAGAGGTTGGCTATGAGGCGGCTCACAAGATTCTGGAGCTCCTGAGTCCTGCGCTCAGTAGTCTTCAGCACTTCTGTGTGATTTGCTTTTTCATTGCTCTCATAATCTGTCACAACCTTGTTGGTGATGAGGGACAGGCCCAAGACACGTAAGCGACGGTCAGGAGCCACGTCCTCCTGGGCACGTGTGCCACAGTGACGAGCCACCACCACCTCCGGGACTGTGCTCATACCTAGACAGAGGGTAGAGGTTGACATTTAATTGAGTACATAAAAACATTCCTTTACATCTCAGTTAGTACTGAACCTTGAAAGAGACACGTTAAAAAGAAAAGGTGGTTTGACTTCAGCACTGTGGTATAGGTCACACAGGATCCTTCATTTCACAAAATGCAACTTTATAGCAATTTCTATTAGATCATCCCTGCTTAATTAATCTCCATGGCTTGGCTTTCTCTTATAAATGTGTAGTTACCAACCCAAATCAAGCTAACACCTCACAGAACATGACGAACATGCCATAACAAGTAGGCTTAAACTTAAGTGTAAAAGTAGTACTAAGATAGTTTTAAAAAATTGTGATAGTGGCCCTCCTCTGAGCAGCAAAACAAGCCAATATGACTATATTATTAAAGTCATAAATAAACATAGGTATATCCAATGTTTTAGCAAACAGTTGCTTATTAAGAATTCATTTGGAGTCATTTTCTTATCGTTATATGATGTATTTAAGATCCTAATTAACTTGTCTGCCATTTGTTGCTGCGTCTGTAGCATAAAGTGTTGAATTTTTTTAAAAGGATTATGGCAGTGAAAGTTCATGAACTTAGACATTCATTTTTATTAGCTATCTTGTAATAACTATTCTGTCATAAATGGCATATTTTCCTATAATTTAGCAACTACTCTGGCTGTGAACTGACATATGTAAAAGTAAACTATAGTAAAACTCAAAAAGATAATGAACCCAGGTAACAACTTTCAAAATGTATCATCTTTTTCTGCCAATTTTACTACACAGAAAATATTTACCATTAAACATGCTACATTTACTGCAACTGATCTGATGTAGTTAAAACTGGTTTATATCAAGTTCTTGCTTTGTAGGACATGAAAGTCTAAATCACATTATGATGCATAATAACACAAACAAAACATCAATTGCTATACAGTGAAAAAAGAGTAAGAGGGTGTATGCTGTGATGTATATGATGTGAACCGGTGGTTACAAGGATGAAAAAATGATCTCTGATGATAGCTGATTTTTCAAGTTGGTACTGAAAAAGGTGCACGTGAAACTGATTTAGTGATGAGGTGTCTTGTGTTGTGCCCCTTAAGCGGAGCAGTAAGTGTTGGAAAGGAGTTATTGGTTTGAATTTGAAAGTAAAATTTAATGCCATTATTATCTGTGTAAATTAAAGAAAGTCAGGGTACTCGATCCATGTGCACAGGTGGAAATGAATCATATGAGCTCTATGATGTGTTCTTGGTTCAGTAATATCTCTTGTAGTGAGGGAACAAACTGAGAGGAAGTAGCACAGCAAACTGGGAGGCAGTGTTACGGCTCCCAGTTTGATCTCCACCAAATTATTTAGAATTAGAATTTATTCATGGATGGATCTAAAGAGCACAAGTGAATAAAACTGTAATGAAGGCAAACAATAAGCAAGTCCAATCACGTAACATAAACCTCCTTCTGTATTGTCATAACAACAAATCACAAATAACACTACTCAGATAGTTTTTCTGATTTGTTCCAGTCATAGCCTGAATCCAAACCATTTACTGTTGACTTGTAGACTCTGCATGTATAAATTATTATTTTAACCACAGAGCTGAATTATTTAAATAAGAAAACAGAGCTTGTATTTAAACCAACTTCACCTTCAAAAACACAAAAGTATTGTGCAGTATAATTGTGTGTAACTGTATACTACCACATAATGTGCAAAAACAAGTGTGGGGGGAAAGAAACAGGGGAATTAGAAGAAGCGTTTTCAAGAGTGAAGAATTGCAAAGTCATTCATACTGTATGACTTTGTAAAAACTGGAGGTTATGTAATAATAACAGGAGAGCCAGGTGCCAAGTTGGTCTGTCAATGATCTGAACAAATAAGTAACAAATACAGACTCATACATAATACATAATAGATCACTAGGAGGACCAAATGAAAAATACTATCCTTTATACAAAACAACATTTTGCATGCATAGATTTTGAAGTCATTTTTAGGTCTTTAATTTAGTTAAGCCATCATATCTTGTGTACCTTTAAGTCTGGGGTTCAATATCGGACAATTGAACCAGACAGGAAAACTCTGTAGTATCACATAAGCTTGTTTTTGCACTGTCCTGTGAATCAGGTGAAAACTGATGCTTTTTTCCCATATGGAAAAGAAATAGTAAAAACTTGTAAAAGACTTGCATAAGATGTGGCCTACTTCATACAGTGAATCATATAAGGCTTATATGATTTACTCATGAAAGTGGCCACTTTCTCATTACTTTTATATATTGTTTTAGTAAGTATCCAAAACATACAAGTCTCATTTATATAATTTTTTCAAGGGATCTTATATCTGTTTTCACTCAAGACAGATACAAACTTTATAAGATTTATATATATCTTTTCCATATGGGTTAGCTTCCACTAGTTCCAACTGTTGGGGTAATATTACTGCAGAAATTTAACTGTTGGTACATCTTCAAAGTAATTCGTCTCTCCGTATTCATATTTTTTTAATGTCTGTATGGTGGCTCTTGTAGATGTACTGTTATGAAGTTTTAACCCTTTATGGTACCTTTTAAAAGGACACTATCTGAACTGAGGATGAAGGAGCTGTACTAACCCACAGCATCAGCCCCCAGCCTCTGCAAGAGTTTGCACTCAGCAATGGTTTCATATGTTGGGCCAGCCAACATGCAGTATACCCCTTCCTGCAGGAAGCTGTCATAGCCCAGTTCCTTTGCTGTTTTTCTGGTCAGGGCTCTCAGGTCACGGTCATATGCATCTGACATGCATGGGAACCGCACTCCAAACCTGCAGGGATAATTAATGCATGAATGAGACACAGGAGTAATGTATAAGATACAGATTTTCCTTTCACTGCCCTGCCCGAGTGTTTCTGTACCTCTCATCATTGTGCCCACACAGAGGGTTCTGTCCTGCAAATCCGGGCATGTTGATGTGATCTTTAATGAGCATGATGTCTCCCACACTGTAGGTGTCATTGAGTCCTCCTGCTGCATTTGTCACAATCAGAGTGCTCACACCCAGCAGATAGAAGACTCGCACTGGGTAAGTCACCTGGAAAGATAAAAATTGTATGCTTCAGAGACAGCAGCTGTCACTCTTTTATGGTCTCAGTGTTTGTCAGTAAATTACAGAAGGAAGTTACAGGTAACCTGGGAATAATAGCAAAGCAAACAATTCATCATATGAAGCAAACATTATAAAAGTGCCAGCTTCTTTATGCACTGATGTCAGTAAGATTTTTATTACTGTAGGTTTTTGCGCATGTGTGGTACAGTGGTGGTTCTGTGCTAACCTTTATATGGCAACTGATGGCCCATAAATGACTGTTGCTACTTTTCACTGCAGTCACATTTAGAAATTGTTTTTTTCTATTTCACATTCCCCTAGAGATTGAATTGCCTATGAAAGTGCTCTGCTAGTTAGTGCAGAAATGTTATCGAGTAGCTTGCTATCTTGATAAGGTCAGTGCTGTCACTTTGGAACATTGGTATGCTTGATATAGGATTTGCATATTATAAGCCCACAACAAACTTTGTTCCATGGACAAAATTTAAGCAGAGCCGTGTGTAATAACAGGACTGCAGAACCTCTAAAAGCAAACGAATGATATAATGTTTGGTGGAATACTTCTTCTAAAAAAACATATTCATTGTATAAGACAAAGTAATCAATTATAGGCACTTATTATTGCTGGTGTAATCTTTACTATACTAAATGTTTCAGATGAGTGTATTGCCATGGTAACAATAGCTGATCTGCCTAACCACAAGACAGTTGTGATAAGCGTGTCTTTAATTTGGCAGATATTCTGTCATTAAGCAAAGTACTGGAACAATTAAAATGTGCGGACAAACATCAGAGTGACACTGAGCCATGCAGTTACTGTACATGGTTAATAAAAACATCCCATCTAATGTTATCTTGGCTTTATTTTTTTCAGGTTGCCAAGTAGGACTTAAGGACCATAACACAGGACAAAGTCCAGTACATTCTGCCAGTGCGCCCCAGGGTGGCTGTGGCTACAATGTAGCTTGCCATCACCAGTGTGTGAATGTGTGTGTGAATGGGTGGATGACTGGATATGTAAAGCGCTTTGGGGTCCTTAGGGACTAGTAAAGCGCTACATAAATACAGGCCATTTACCATTTTACCATTTACCAGAAAAGCAAATTTGTAGTAGAAATTTTTACTTAAGCTGGCATAGGTGGGGGGTGGCATATGCAGACGATTCATCTAGAGACATTTAAAATGTTGTTTGTCTATACTTCTAACTGGATATAAGAGGACTATAAAGCATCTGACCTTCTGTTACTATAAAAAAAAATGTGTCTTTATGATTCAGGGGGGTCATATGGAGAATTTTATGTGGATATGGCATGTGAAAGCGGGTAATAAAAGTCAAACCAGGATACAGTCTCCACAGGCCAAAGGGCAATCCAATGTGACACACTGGTTGTCATCTCAGCACTTCAGCTGATCATTCTACAAACTTGGTAAATTGTTACCTCAAGTTGTACCTATCCTTGATCCTTGATGTCATACACCCAAATTTCCCCTTGTGGGACAATTAAAGGATTATTCTATTCTATTCTATTCTATTCTATTCTATTCTATTCTATTCTATTCTATGTAAGTGCTTATTAAAAGTCACTAGGCTATTTGGGAGAAAGTCTTAACCCTCTCAAGGCAGGCGTTGCCGATTTGCAACAGTTAAAAACTAACAACCTGATTACCCCACATACATATTTTATGAGGTTTTTTTTTACTCAGAAGTACCACTGCAGGACTTGGTTGTGCATTAGCAACAAAAAGTTTAATTTGAGCCTGAGAGGGTTAATTGTCTCAGAGAACAGCTTTCTCTCATAGAATATAAGCTTTATGGAAGAAAGTCTGATTTTGACTCATCAATTTAAAGAGCAACAATCTATTTTGACGGCAGTTGGAACTGCATGTTTTTCTCAGTGTGACTGACTATGTCAGAATTTAAACTGCTGGCTGAATTCTACAGTACAGTGCATCGTTTGCATCAGCAAGGTCTCAAGACACAGAAGCGAGTTGGGTTGTGTAATGGAAATGTTGTATTTGTTCCAGAGTTGCTTGTTTTTTCACAGCACAATAATGCTGATTCATGAGTTATGAAACTATTCTATGAAACATGATTGATACAGTCTTGAAGACCCTGAATGTTCTGCTGAGGGAACGACTACACCATATGAATGTGAAATGAGTACACCACTTCGTCTGTGTGCCGAGCCAGAGTCTCAGTCCCATATGCATATAATAACCTTTTTAATGAAAACTCTGAATGATGACTGCTTTTTATTTGTCTTGTTCTTTCGTTACTGGATTTCTTCTGTAATTTGGGATAGAAATTGTGACAGAAAGCTGCTCATGAGGCAAAGCAATAACAAATAAATGTATATCTTTGCACATTTTCACATGGAGGCCATTCAAAATGCAGTTAGATCAAATATAATCCCAGCAGAGCAGAGCATGGAAGTGGACAATTAATGGGTTACATCCCAAAGAGTAAACACCAGGTATCTGCTACTCACAGTAGCTCAAAGAAAACACCAAGCTTTCTTAACATAAGCAGAATACGCAACTAAAGCTCCCCACACAAGACTGGTCCACACACTGACTAACCAGCTCTTCACTTGCTTATATGCTGCTAGGTGGCTGATTGCTGAATAAAGCCAGCTGTCCACTGGCTCCTCGGGCGAGCTGGGTGGAAGCTAAACTACTGGATGAGAAAAACGCACCCACACAACACACAGACTTGCTAGGGCTGTAACAAATATAAAACTCATATCAGAGACATGACTGTTTTTAGCCATACTAGCCTCACTGCTATTTAGATGATTAAAAACAGTCATGTCTCTGTATTTACTGCAGACTGAAATAGTTTAACTTTTGCTTTGTGTGGAACCAACATTTTCTTAGAACTGCAGCTATTTATAATTGTAATCCCACAACGCCAGTTTAAATATTGGTAATTTATTACTTATTTTTATTGTGAAATAACTATACACTCTATATAAGATGGCTGTAGCCAATGTGACATCAGAAAAGAAAAAGATGGTCTAATCTGGGTAATAAAAGGTACCACAAGCAGTAGATTATCTCTACATACTGCTGCTTACCGTTTGTATGTTGTAACCCTCGTAGAAATGGAATCTCCCCTGCATACAGACACACTCGCAGCCATTCAGCTTGCCAAACACCAGCTGCCCTGCATGACCCTGCACTGCACAGCACACGTGTAGCATTAGCCATTGCTGGCATGAATATGCACACTGTCCAGACAGTAATAATGAGTTTTAGGAAACCGCTTACCAGTGCTGGTGGGAAAATGTGGAATATCCTCATATTTGAACACTGTCTTCTCCTCCAGCAGATCAGCTAGACCGCCCAGGCCTGAACCACAGATGATGGCCACTTTGGGACGCTGCTTTGTACGGTTAAGCAGCCAGTCCGCTGTCTCCTTATAGTCTTCATAACTGTATATGAAAGTGTTAAGGAACATAAACAATATCAAGTCAACATGTGCAGCTTTAACTGAGAATACAAAAGTAAGACATTGTTGAAAACAGAAGAACCAGCAGAACAGCTTCAACTGAAAGTTGTTTTAACTTCTATAGGCAATCATTAAAAGTCAGAACTCTAAAAAATAGAATGAGTTTTGTTCAGTTAAGGCTTTTCTGTGTGGATCAACTAGCCTGACCTGTCTATCCAGCTAAAGTGTGTCCCTTTGTGATGACAAAGTTTCCACAACTCATGTAAAGCTAATGCTCATTGTCTCACTGATTGCACTGGTAAGCGATGTTAAAAATAAGTGAAAAGATCATCTGGAGGAGAAATGTGGGAGTAAAAACCCACAGAAATGAACACTGTAAAAATATGATTCAATGATGCAGGGTGCAACACACTGAAGGGCTTTTACTTTGCTATTTTGAGTGCACCAGGCAAATTATAATTCAGGGGTGCTGATTTTATTGGGAATGCCCCAAGGTACTACATTATATAAAGCCTGAACCAGTCTGTAATTCTGGTTATAAATGTGGTAGTAAAGCTATAACCTTGTTAATGTTCCCTCAATGCCTCAAGTCAAGCCTTGTTGTTAAAATACAGGGACACTTCAGGCCGTGGCCTTTACCAGATCAAGCTGAAGCAGGGGAAAGCCCAAAGACTCTAGAAATCCCATCTAAGATATATGCTATATCTGATTAGAATTAGATGTTCTGGCTTATATTTTCCATATTCCACCTGTTTCTTTGCTAAAAACCTAGCATGGAATTATTTTAGCAACAGTAGACGTTTTGGCAACTGGGATGGAGAGTTCAGTCAAAGTCATAAAATTTCCATGAAGTAAGAAAGTAGGCCAGCTGCCAAATATATCAGGGGCCTATGCATCAAAAATGTTATCCAGAAGAAAGAAACTGAAAGTAACTGAATCATTATCCAGTCTGTCAGTTGCAATTGTGGCTCTATAACTAATTCTTCTAATAATAACTAATTTTCAGCTTTGTACAAGAACACCAGTCAGGAAGATTAACACATGGCTGTACAAACGTCTGCTGGATTAGAAGGTGGAGAATAAATGACAGCATGTCAGGTTATTTAACCATTGCATGTTTTTTTTTATCAGTGATTTATAAACCCAAGCAATGGAAACATGGAGACATCAGCAGGGGTGTATAATATGTAGCATAGCAATAAAACCATCTCTTATTCAGCAAGAACATGATGACAGCTCTCATTCCTGTAATTCTGCTGTAACCTTTTATTTAAGGGGAAGTAAACTTTCCCCATAAACAAGATGAATTTACTTTTGAGTAGCCAACTAGACTTACCAAATAACAATTATAAGAACTTGATGTTTAGCCATCTTTGTATGATGGTGTTAATCTGTTAGATTATCCTGTTTTTTAAATTACATAATAACCTTACAATTTCTACTATGTGTTAGCATTTTAAAGTCATGTCAAAATGACAGCTTGTAAAAAAACTGTGAAAAACTCAGTACAATCCATGTTTCATTAGCTAAACCAAATTTAGTTGCAATAAGTTAAAGTAGCTGTTTTCCGTGTCATCCTCTACAGTAGCTTCTAATTTTACAGAGCAGAATCTTAAAAGCAGAACCTCTATAAAGCCTTCTGCTTTTGTAGAGCTAATAACACCTGGATGTTATTTACTTTTTTAGTCCTGTGGCAGTAGTTTTTCACAGCTACCTAGCAACATATAGAGTAATATATGGGTAAGCCAGTACATTTTATTTCGATTTTTCTCCTACCTGCCTTTCAATTGAGCTCAATGTTTATCTAGGTTACGTTTGTCTTTGAGCTCACTTTGTGATTATGTTCAATTATACAACAGCAAGCAGGAAGTGAGTTTGTAAGGGCTCTCCTTCCCTTGAACTGGTGGGCTGGTATCGTGTGGAGCTGTCCGTGGTGCTGCGGGAAATTTGTATTCAGGCTCTGAAGCCTGACTGCCACATATTTCTGGCATTCCGAACACAAAGTCCCGAAAACACAAAAGGCAGCTTGACTAGTCGCGGTAGTTGCTAAGCCCCAGGCTTTGAATTAGACACACAAGACAGGCCTGTAAAGTAGGCGAACATGCAACCAGTCTGACTAGATCATTATGATAGATAGCAATGACATTTGCAGTTTTATATATTAACAATGCAGGTTATTCTTCCCTCACGCTGTAGGTAAAGGCTTCCACCTGTCATATTATGACAAGCTCACTTCATAAGAGGAAAACCCTCATTGGCTGGTCTAATCTTCAGAAATAAGCGTCCTGTCACTTTTGCCTTCATTATACGTTTCTCAAAACGCACAAAATGCTTTATGTAAATCTTAGGATTTATTCTTTAGACCCTCTTCAACACCGTCCACATTCCAATTAGACAGCGTAGTGGCCTTGACAATCATTAGGCTCTTTTCACTAACATCCAGCCTTGTCATCCAGCCTTGTCATTCCTACCTGCAGTGACTGCTGGAGGGGTTTGCCGCTTCCATATCCGACGATGGCGACGATAAGGTCCCGTTTAGTGTTTATTTTCACAGGTGCTTCCCGTGTATGGTAAGCCAGTTAAAGCCGCCGATGGAGACTCTTCTGCTTGGGTGGACGGAGTGCGGAGGGGGTGTTGCGCGTTGACGTCAAGACATTTCGTAGGGGATGGGGGCGGGGCTTACACAGAGTGCCGGTCGCACTTTGAAGAATACAAAATCCAATTTTCCAGCCGACTGGGCAATTTACTGATCCGTTTCTCATGACGAGACAAGACCGGGAACAGAGGGAGAAACAGTGAGAGGGCGACAGAGAAGAAGGGAAAGGAAAAGATAAGGAAATAATAATAATAAGATAAAATCTAAACAGTAATGTTGTGGATTTTTTTGTTATTGTTTTTTACCCCACAAATATAAACAAACATTTCAGATTTCAGATGTTCCATTGAACACCAGTTCGGGGAAATCCCGCATGTGTCTGAAGCATGCTGTACAAATAGTGGCTCTGACTAACAATTCAAAGTGCTGACTCAGGGATTAGTAGAAAAGAATGAACGTGAAAACACACAAAAACCTAATACAAAGCAGTGACACAAGGCATAAGAAAAGGGGAGCAATGTACTGCATGTAATTACAGAGACAGGATAAAGTAAGGTAAATACAAAGCTTATTTGTTTAATATTTTATCTTAAAAAATCACGAGTTTACAATTAACAGGTCTGGTTATGGATTAAAGCCAACAACTCATAAACCATAAACATTCCAGAAAAAGTGAAAAATAGTTTAGTATAACATTTCAACTTAAATATGAATAGTTCCTATTTAATGCAACTTCTTTGCATTTATTTTTTTTCATTTATTCACATGGGACAAGTTAGAAACAAAAACATGTCATGGTGGTGTTGTGTAGCAGGCTGGAGTTGGACCCAGATGCAAGACTCGAACACAAAAGAGATTACTGAAAGAGGCAGCTTTTATTTGCAGCAACAAAGCACTAAACTAAATACATGAAAACAAAACCTAACATTGGAAACTGAGAACTGAAAACTAGAAACGTACAATAAAAAACTAGGAACTGGGGAGAAAGCAAGGAGAAGTCAATGGCCAGCGTTGGTATTGGCGTGGTGTGGCGTGGTGGTAGTATCGGACGGAGGCCCTTGGGCGGCTTGAATGGTGGCTGGTATTGACAGGGATGGGAACCCTTGAGCAGTGCAGGATTGGGCAGTGCAGTGACCACTGGTTCAGGCAGAGATAAACCAGATGGAGCAAGGACCTCTGGTGGAGCAGAACCAGAAAGTGCAAAGAGCTCTGGCTAGCTGGAGCTGTGCAGGGTACACAGCCTGTTAAGGGTGCAGCGGCTAGGGCTACACAGCACATGAGGCTTCGCAGGCTCAGGCTGCAATGTGGAGACCATGGCTAGCTGGGCAAGCTCGCCTGACCCCCAGCGGAGACAGATGACTGGGACGCCTCAGCTGAGCCCCCAGCAGAGAATGAAACGAGAACCTCCGGGGGACCAGAACAATCTAAGGCCTCAAACTCAGTCTCTGAATTCCAGTGTTGGGTAAGTTACTTTAAATTAGTAACTTAGTTACATTACTAGTTACTTCTCTCAAAAGTAACTCAGTTACTTCAAGTTACTCGTTACTTTCAAAGTAACTAGTTACTAGGGAAAGTAACTTTGGTTTTACTCAGAATTCTCTTGTTAATGTGTTGCTTCCGTAACTGGATACCCAGCGAGATTGCCAGTCTTCTAGCTTGCTTACTTGCCAAAGGTGCACTGTGCCACCTACCAATAGAAAGGAAAAAATAATGTGCATATTTCCACGAGTGAAATCCCACACCTGGACCATCATTGACCGCCGCCATGATTCTAGCCTACGTCACAGTGTCACGTGCGCTTTTTACATCCAACACGAAAACTGCAGTTGTGGTGCTTTCGATTGTACTCAGAACTCGGAAATTCTGCCTTCCGAATAGGAAGATGTAGGCAACACCAGACTGCAGATGAGCTGCATACAGAGCTGGACTGGGACAAAAAATCGGCCCGGGCATTTTGACTAGACAACAGCCGCCTATCTAAATCCCAGTAACGATTAACGCGTTCCTGATTTTGGCATAATAACTAGTTATCGTGCTCATTATCACAATAATAATGTAGTTACTGTAACGCATTACTTAATAACGCGTTAGTCCCTACACTGCTGAATTCCGCCTGGGTAAAGTTTCAGTTTGTAATTGGCCCAGTTTAGCTACACAACAGTTCCAGAAAAACTGTTATTATCCGGAACTGGGTAACAAAGCCTTGGAATAAACAATCTCAAGGCCCTTATCCATTAGCAGCTACTCAGATCGACTCACCCCCTTATCACCACAACTTGGCTTGGATTGACTGGTTTCCCATTACAACCTAGTACTACCTTGTGTGCATGCTTGTCAACATAGCAATGCATCTGCACGTCCCAAGACGTCAATAATGTGCGATACGAAGACTAAAGGTGGACATTCAGGCAAGAATATACCTACTGCTTGGTCTGTGGCTTTTCGTCAGACTCAAGGATCACCGCATTTCTTTTTTTTGGGAGCTATTTCCCTCGTTGCTGGGTTTCAAAGATGACGTTTTTGACTTTCGTGAATGAGAAGCTCTCATGACTCATTGAGTGACACTACTGACCAGCCAATCAGTGTCATGCAGTGTGACGACATCACATTTTAGTACCTGCTCGGATCGTTTGGATCTGAAAAAGTACCAGGTACCAGGTACTATGACCTAATGGAAAACTGTGGTAAACTGTGCCGAGTCAATGCGCGAAGGTACTGACAGAAAAGGGGCTATAAAGTTTCCAGGCTTGGGAGGAGTGTGAAGAAAACAGTCTTCTAAATTCTCTGAGCTGGAGTTACCAGTCTCTGTAGTAATACTTACAGGCTTGGAAGGAGCATGATGAAAACTTTTTTTTTTTTTTTTTTTTTAAATGGAGGAAACTGCGTCAGAATAAACAGTTTTAGAATCTAAACACTCAGATCAGGACAGCTTTGTCTTTAAAAAAAAACTTGGGACCTGGAGGAGGAGAGACATGGAAAATTTCTTCCGCTGCTGCAGCTGTGGTGATATAGGAGACTCCTGCTGCTGTGGTGAGGTAGTAATGGAGGAATTAAGCTGCAGCGCTGTAGAAGAGGAGGACCAATGACCTGGGCCAGCTCTCAGTGCCTCCTTAGCCTGAGTCAGGGAACAGCCAAAATCCTAAGCTATACATGTAAACAAAACCTAACATTGATTGGAAACTGAGAACTGAAAACTCAAAACCAGGATCAGGAACTGGGGAGAAAGCTAAGAGAAGAGAGGGACACAAGGGCAGCAGGGGAATACACAGCAATGTGAGACAACACAACAACAGGCAGAGGAAGACGGTGGACTAAATAGAAAGAGACATGACAGGGAGGAAGCAAAACTGAATACAATAAACACAGGACATGGGACTATCAAAATAAAACAGGAAACATGCACACACACTAAGACGTGGGGTTGACACTGGGACTGGGGACGAGACAGACATAGGGACATAGCCAACTGGGGAGACAGAAAGGAAACACAGAAATCAGACACAGGAGATAAACGAACATGAAGACAAGGGAGACTAAACATGAAATGAGGAAAACGGGGGAGGAACAGTATCAAAAACCTAAAGACTAGAACTATAAATATAACCTGAGCAGATAGTAACTAAGAAAACTAGAAATAGAAATGTTTAAACTGGAAACTTAAGCAAAAGCCTAAGACTTAGAAATGCTGGTACCATGACAAAATAAGAAGATGATCAAAGTGTCTCATCTACCAAATCAGTTCAGATATGTACTGTAAGTCATGAGTAATCAGTCAGGGGGGATAAAGTAGACCTGCAGATTTAATTGGAGCTTCCTGCCCTTTAATCGTGCTCACTGGGCTTTCAAATTCCTTTTGTGTCTCATATGCCTGCACAATGACCCTCTTGAACACAGAGTGCTCAGCTGATGTTTGGTTTTAATGGATGTGGTGGTGACTGCTTGTGTGTCTGTGTGTAAGAGAGCAGGATTTTGTATTTAATACATAGTATAAGACATATAATCAGAATTATTTTATTGTATCTGTGGGTTATAGAGATACATAATTTCTTTCCCCTTTGAAAACTTGTGAATTTTCAGACGCAGTGAACCAAGCCATCCTCTGTGAAACAGGGCAAAGTAGGCTTCTTTAATTAAACTCAAGATCAAATTCAACACACTTCTTAAGTCTTCAAATAGCTTAAGTTCAGATAGCATGTTAAAGTTTAAACAGTAGATCTTAAAGTTCTGTATTTTTATATATATGAAAGGCCTGTATAGCTGTTTGGTATAGTACTTGCACAACACGAGTGTTTGGTGATTTCTGTGCACATTTTTCTTAGTAATATTTGTTGTTGTTGTTTCTTCTTTCTGGATGAAATAGGGAAGTTAAAAAAAATCGAGTGTGCAAAAACGTTTCAGTTCTCTTAATTTGAAGAAATATTAAAATGATGTTAATCAAAAACACACCAACAATCAAAAATTATGTCTTTAAAAACATTTTGAAATAGACCATTCAGCATTATATCAACTTTCAACTGTTAGGGCTTTGAGCCAATCAGCAAAGAGTATATTGGGATGCTGTCGAGATTGCCAGGCAACGAACCAGACAACCATCCTTTTTGTGCCTGATGGAGGGAAAGCTTTGTGTAAAATGAAAAGTTCTCAAAACGTTTAACCTGACCCATTCAACCTGACCAGGCATAAAGGGAAACTCAAACTACATACTAATATATACACATGAGAGTGACAAGGGAAGTAGAAACACATGGGGAACACAGCTGGGACTAAACACAGGATGAGCGAGACTGTCAAAATAAAACAGGAAACACTGAGGGAGAACACACATGGATACACATGACAGACAGGGGAGACATGGGAACAGAAAAGGGAGACGAAGAAAGAGAAAGTGAGCTAGAGAAATGGAGGGAAACACAGACATGACTGAGGAAACATACACAAAGGACATAACAGACTCTCAGATGAGACACAGGAATGAGCCAGAGGCAAGAAAACATGAACTAGAAATACAAAAAACTTAGAAATATAAAAAAAGACT